CTTAGTGTTTGTGTGCTTGAAGCTCGATGGCACGGTCAACTGGTCGTGGGCCACGACCTTGATTCCGCTCTGGATCTGCAACGCGCTCGTGCTGCCGTACCTCGTTCACAAGAACATGAAGCCCATCAAGATCAACCTCAACACGAGCGAAGAGACGCCGCTTGTGGGCAAGGCAGGCGAGAAGACGATGGCCGAGGAAGCGATGGAGTCGGCCAACTGCTTTATCCACACGTACAAGAACCATGGTCGTCGTCCGACTTGCATCTCATAGGCAGGTGCGTAGGACGCGCAACTTGGCGCTGCTCGCGTACTTGACGTCGCAGATCTTTGTCGTCCTGCGCCTCGACCACGTCGTCGAGTGGCACTGGCTCCTCGTGTTCATTCCGTACTACGTCGCCAGCGTCCTCTCGTGCGAGGGCTTTGACTTGATCCAGTCGCTCCTCATTGCCGCCAAGATGGACGGCATGCTCAACTCGACGTGGCTCTTGACGCTCATGCCGTCGTGGGTCGGCCTCGCCATCTTCCTCGTCTTCCTTGTGCGCGCTTTGCTGTTTCGTGTGCATCCAAAATCTCATGCCAACGTGACGTAGCCGCTCCAGACGTACTGGGCGTTCAAGGCGTCGCCCGATGACGACGACGACGTCGAGCCCAAGTCGCGCGTCTTCCGCTTCTTCCTCGCGCTCGGCGTTTTCTTCAGTCTCGTCTTCCTCTCGTCGCCGATCTTCATTGCGATCTACCGCCTCGACTACGCGGCTTTCTCGACGTTTTACATTGCCCTTCCGTTCTTTGTCCTCGTCGGCGTGGCCATCGTGGCCGTACGTTCCATTTGATCCATCGTTGACATGTCTCTCAATCACGTCGTGGAGTAGGGTCTCGCGTCGGTGTTTCTCATGACACCCGAGCCGACGACGAGCACAATTTACGTCCACGCGGCCGCCGACGACGAGTGCTAAACCTTGTCGTCCCCTACTGCATCATCGACTCTGTGCTGCCCCTTAAGTACTACCCAGGAAATCCAAAGCTGTGTTTTTGACAGACTGTTGGCTCTCGGGACATGCCAAGAGCGTACGCTTAGTATGGCAGTAGCGTCGACGCCAGAGTGCTAGAATATCGCAATGAACCCTTGCGCATCCAGGACAAGGTCGGCGTGCGCTTTCGAGTTCGTGGTGGTACCGGCACACGCCGTCCGAAAGCTCGTTGAGTTCTCGCCTTCTATTGGACTCGTGTCCAGACAAATACTACTTGATGTCTAGAGTTTTGCGACCGAGACTCAACAGAAGAGATTCGGGCATGCCAGCCTGCAGAATTCCAAAGCGTTGGCCCGCGAGGTTCAAATGACGGCCTCGGATTGGTCGAAAAATAGCCAATGGCATCCATCCCTACTACAACCAGGCGGCAGAAGCGAAAATCGAGGTGACGCCGCCGCCGACGATGGCCGCCAACGACAATGCCGTCGCGCAGTCGATCATCGACCGCCTCGTGCCCGCGATCCCGCGCTTCGCCTTTGAGAGTCTGCGCACCGATCCAATGCTGCGGCTTCTTCTGTGCGGCTACGTCACCTGCGTCGTGATTCTTCTCGCCCCGTTGGTTCTCATCCCATGTACGTACTCGCAGACTACAGCTCTGCATAGCCTCACGCACGCTCCGCCATGTCGCTAGTGTGTATCTGCCTCAAGGTGGATGGCCTCATTCTCGCGCCGTGGCGAATTGCCTTGGCGCCGCTCTGGGTCCTCGAGCTTCTCTGCATCATGATCGCCGTCGCGGGGCTGTTTATCGAAGACTCGGACGCCCAAGCCGCCGACGCCAGCGCAGTAATAGAAGAGGCAGATGCATCTCTCGAAGAAGGCGCGGCTGCCAGCAAGAGCCCACCGACCTACGGCGCCACCGACGAGGCCGTCGACGCGGCACCCAAGGCACTGGATGACGTCGCCGACGCACCACTGCCAACGAACACCAGTCCCAAGATGATGTTGTCTACGTACGTACTACAAAATCATTGGCAATGCAAAGGTGTGACGCTGGTGTCGTCATAGGCGCGACTTTGCTGGCGGCGTCGGTACCTGCGTCGCACATTTCCTCGTGGCTCTGCGCATGGACCATGTCTTCGAGTGCGCATGGATCTGGTTGTTTCTTGCGTTTATCGTCTCGGATGCGGTCGGCGGCCCCGATATCGGTAGCACGGGGCTCCTTATCCAGTACTGTGTGATTTTCCTCAAGCTCGACAACACGATCTCTTGGAGCTGGGCCGTCATCTTGATCCCGACGTGGATCCTCCTCGGTGTCGTCGTCGTTCTACTGGTGCGCTGACGCTCTGTCTTGCGATACTCAACGCTCTTGTAGCCCTGCATCGTGTACTTTGCCGCCAAGGAGTTCGATCTTGTCTCGCCTCCTGCGGTGGCCGCCTTCAGTCTCGCGGGTCTTTTAGCCGCCGGCGCGATCGTGGCTTCGCTCGTTCTCATCACACTCAAGCTCCAAGGGTCATCAACGTACTCGGCGCTCGAGACGTGTCTGCCCTACTTTGCCTCCATTGTCTTTCTTATCGCCATCGTACGTACCTCAATCAAAGCATGGCTCACGGCACCATTTTATCGTAGGGCGCTTTGGCCATCTTTCTGTTCTGGCCGATTCCACCACCCCAAGCCGAGGAAGGCGAGGGGATGGCGGAAGACGATCCTAACACCGCGACCGACGCACTCGCCACGTGTTCAGAGCCCGAGTTGTAGCAGTAAAGATATCTAAGTGGTACAGAACGTCGATGCCGACATGTCGGTGGTGCAAAAGTCCTTTCAAGTTTGAAGGCTCAACAGGTTATGAGCCCAAGCGCGCTTTTTGCAGGCTGTAGACGTAGACAACTGACGTTAATCACATCCCTCATTACGACTGGAGACGACTGAGCTACATCCCGCCGTGGACCCGTGTTCGGGCTTCACGACAGCCCGTGCAGCAAGGATATCGCAGCGCATCCTTAACGACGTCCAGCCGGCCAGTCGGCAAGCACAAATTGACACGCTGGAGGCCACTCTCGACGCCGGCTGAAACGAGTTTCCATAAAGATTGCATTTTGGACTTCAGCACAATTTTGTCATCACCACAACTACATATCGTGGGGGCAAAGGAACGCGTCGAGGCGGCGGAGCATCTCTTGGAGCTGTGCATTCTCGTCTTTGAGGGCCGTGAAGCGCATTTCGATCGCAGCGAGGGTTGACGCGCGCTCTTCGATCGCCAGCAGCTTCTGGTGGAGGGTCTTGAGGCTCACGACAGGCTCCGGCTCGTCTTCTGCGTCGGACGGCGGACTCTCGTCGTCTGCGGCCATGAGCGCGCGCTGCATCGCGTCCGTCCTGCTGTTGGTCGGCGGCGGCGGCGCGACCGGCAGCCTTTGGAGCGTGATGGTCTTTTCACTGCGGAGAATGCACTCGGCAAAGCTCCCAATCGCATCGAGCTGCGCGGTTTCCATGTCGGTGGCCATCGTCGCGTTCATCATCGCAATGAGCACGTTGAGGAGGAGCACGATGACCAAGGTTGCGTGCGTCAACAAGAGCGTGTAGCCGAGCACGATGGGCCCGGGCGCCGGCAGCTTCTCGAACGGGTCGGCGTTGATCTCGCCGACGAGGACGAAGAACGCTGTCACGAAGCTGTGGCTCAGCGTGTTGTACGCGTCTTCGTTCCGGCCTTGAAAGAGGAGGTAGTACGCGATCGTATACGCGCACAAGAACGGAACGTAGAAGGCCATGAACTTGAAGACGTCGTCGAGCATGTGCTTCATCATCGGGATCAAGTAGCCCGCGGTCTCGTGCACCTCGAGGTACTGGATGCTCAGCGCCCACGTCGCAAACGCCAGCGTGATGCTCACGTAGAGCTCTGCGTCGCCCGACGACGGCGAGACCACTTCGCACAGGCCAAAGACAAAGAGGGCGACGAAGAGTGGCAGCTGGAGCTTGTTGAACGTCGACTCAAAGTAGTGGGACGCGGGCTTGTCGACGAAGCTTCGAAAGTAGTCGACGAGCGCCTCGAGCGCGACGGAGCACGCGTTGGTCTTGCCGGCTCTCTCGTTGACTTCGCCGTAGAGCTCCTTGACCTCGAACCAGATAAAGTACGCCGCGACGGCCGAGAGGAGGAGGTTGTTGAGGCGTATAAACCAGACGCCGTCTGCGTGCAGCGCAATCAGCTCCGAGACGAGCCAGAGGACGACCTCGACGATTGCAATGACCCCGATCGTCGCGAGGCCCCAGTACTTGCGGTCTGTCTCTGGCTCGAGAAGAAACGTGGCGCCGAACCAAGGCCGAGCGCGACGCTGCCGTGGAGACAGAGCAAGAGCTGGCCATGGAACTCGGGCGCCGGACCGTTGTCGAGGTCCATCGACACCGAGAGCGTCAGCGTGAGCAGCAAGAGCAGGTACAAGAGGCACTGCTGAATGTACATTTTGTTGCCGAAATGCTACATGCCAATGCGTCAATTTGGAAAAAGATCAGAAATTGTAAAATACCTTCCACTTCAAACGCAGCACTTCTGCCATGGCCTCGTGCTCGAGAAGCCCCTTCATCGCGGGCTCGCGAAGGATCTTGAAGAGGGTCGACTCACGCAGCACTTCGGCGTGGTTGCCGTACAACTCGCCAAGCTACGCATTTTGTGCACACGTAAGACGAGCCGAGACGACGCATTGCGTACGAGATCCGAGTCGAGCGCTTCGCCACTCTCCTTCCGCGCCGTGACCTTGAGCTTGCACTTGTCGAGCTCACGCCACGCGCGCTGGAACTTTTTTCTCTCAATGTACCCGTGTAGCATCGTGAGGTTGAACGCTGCCTCGGTGACCGCTGGCGCCTGGTTGCGTTCCTGGCCTGGCGTCCTGTCCTGGTGGCTCGGCTGGCGCGCCGGTTCGCAGGGCGTCGGGCGTCGCGTCTGGTTCATACGGCGATCGGTGGCCTAGACCGCCTTCCTCCATGCTCTGTGCTAGGCTAAACGACGCTATGGCGGCGGCGACAAGTGACAAATGAGTGGGTTGGGCACGAGGAGGATCGTGCTCCATCTATCATCGGCGCACAATCGCTGTACAATGCGTTCTTATCTCAACAATACTCGTCGTGGATTGGCTGAGGCCAGTTGATAATTGGCCACAGTAGGCTTGTCAAGCGGTGCAGTTGACAAATCTTTTTTAAATGACTCCCCACACTTGGTTTATATATGGTATGTACGATGCTGGCATAAAAATACAACATGCAATCTGGTGTGCCACGTCATTTTCTGGCAGCTGCGTCATGTTGATGGGTTTGCGCGCGGTTGCGACGGCGCCTTCCGGTGCTCTCTCACTTTGCCTTTTCGTTGGTCGACACGAGGCCGTTCGAGCCATGCCAGCCGCGCGCAACCACCGCCGCGACGTCCACACGGCGCCCTTCAACCTCGACGCCTTGCGGCGCTACATCGCCAACGACAGGGTGCGCAAGGCTGCGATCGAGCTCGACAAGGCCATCGACCCTCGATGCAACGGCTTCAACGACGCCATGGTACGCCACCACTGAGGACAAGAGAGCGCTAAAAGTCCCATGACAGATTCGTAAAATCTACGGCCGCGACGGACCACTGCGGAACTCGATTCTGTTTACGATTCTACGCCACCCAAAGGCCAAGGAGCTGCTCAACCACCCAGTCATGCGCCAAGTCGAAAACATCAAGTGGCAGGTACGTCCTTCCTTCCGCCATCACACAGGTTGGTAAAGGACGTCTCGTAGAACTTCGCATGCTGCATGTACATGCAGCAGCTCATGCTCTACCTCTTGCTGCTCACGACGCTGACGCTGTCCGTGACGATGGACCTGAGCGACGGCGAGTCGCCCATCTTCCACACGCAGCTGCTCGTTTGGCTCAATCTCGGCGTTGCCCTCGTGCTCGGACTTGTTGCGACCAACTTTTTTACCTACGCCAACCGCAAGCGCTGGGCCTTCCAGTCCATCGTCGTCATCGGCCTCGTGCTTCTCGTGCTCAATCTGTGCGCCGAACTGATCGCTGCGCACGTCAACTGGATCTGGTTCGTGCGCTGCAACAACCTCGTGCTGGCGCCCACGACGCTGTACTTTATTCGGTTCGAGATCCTCGAGCTCTACGGCGAAGTCAACGTCGACGCGAACCCGACCTTTGTGCAGCTGCTCGAGGTCGCCGTCGAAGCCATTTGCGACTTCTTCCTCATCTTCATCGGCCGCAACGCGGCACACTACTTCGAGTCGTTCTTCAACAAGGTGCAGCTCCCGACGTTCGTTGCGATCCTCGTCTTCGTCATCACCGAGACCTTTTACCCGTCCAGCGACGACGTCCGCCTGTACTTTGGCATCATCATCACGTTCGCCTCATGGGCCCTTGGGATTCAGTACCTCGAGATCCACAACACGGCCGGGTACCTCATCTCGCTCATGACCTTCATGCTCAAGGACGTCGTCAAGTTCATGGCCTTCTACCTCCCGTTCCAGTGTGCATATGCAATTGCGTACTACCTCCTCTTCGAAGGCCGCGGCGTCGACGCCTATGCCACGATCGCCCACAGCTTCGTGACCACTTTCCTCGTCATGCTCGGCCAAATCGACCTTGATCCGTTTGAGGAGCTCCCGGCGCCGGGCCCATATGTGCTCGGCTACGCACTCCTGCTGACGCATGCGACGCTTGTGATCGTGATGCTCCTCAACGTGCTCATTGCGATGCTCAACAAATCGATGGACAAGGTCATGGAGATGGCCAAGCTCGAGGCGCGCGTGAGCTTCGCCGAGTGCATCATCCGCAGTGAGAAGACCATCGGCCTCCGCGCGATGCCCGCGGTGCCCACCAACGAGTCAACGCAGTTGATCCACAGTCATATCATGCTGGAGGTGGAAGTCGACAACGACGACGATGGAGACGTGTCGGAGGACGAGCCCGAGACCGACAACGAGACTCAAATCGCCGCGCTGCACGCCATTGTCCGTGACGAAATCGCCCGGAATGACCGCCTCGAAGCCATGCTCCGCAGTCTCACGCAGCACTTTGACATCGTCGTGCAGTAAATACGTCGGATAAGCGCTAACAATCAAGCGCGAATGATTTCTTATCCTTCATAAATTGCATTGGGATGACGTTAAGGTCGAGCCAGGTCCGAGAGGACGAGGTGATCTCCCACGACGTCCGCCACCTCGACGACCTTGACGACGTGCTGCGCACCCGTTGCTTCTTCGTTCTCCTCACCTCTGTGCTGTCGCGTATGTTCAAACACGTACGTCCAAGAGTTGAGGATGACTTCGTTATTTTCAGGGACAAGACACTACAGCATCGCGAAAACAACACCCTATCGATTTGCTGCCCGTTTGCTGCATGTACACCCACCCTTTTAGTCGCCTTTTAGTTGTCTTTTAGTTGCCTTTTAGTTGCCTTTAGTTGCTTTTAGTAGCTTTTAGTCGCTTTTAGTCGCCTTTTAGTTGCCTCTTAGTTGCCTTTTGGTTGCCTCTTGGTTGCCTTTTGGTTGCGTTTTGCTGCCCGTTTGTCAAGTCGGTGAGGATCATGTTGGAGGCGTTGCAAGCATCCGTAGCGGAAGGTTTGACCACGACGGAATGTGGCTTATCCTGATCGGCGTTGACTGGAGCAAAAACGAGAAAAGCCCTATACGGCGCCGATTGGTTGCATCTTCGACACATCCCAAGTCGCCTGAAGGCCCAGGACCGGTGGCGAGGAACGTGAACTAATTGCAATACCGCAGTCGTTCATGACGCAGGATACGACGACGACGACGCAATGCATGGTACGTATATTTACGAAGAACCCACGACGTTTGGAAGCAGAGTGTCGCAGACGCCGTCGAGCGAGAGCGTCTTGGCGTGAATTCGCGCCATGAGGGCATCTTCCTTCGCTTGCATCGCGCCCAGAGCGTTGAGCAAGCGCTGCATGTGGCGATCCATTTCCTCTTCAAAGCTTGTCGCAAGCGACGGCTCACTCCGCGCAAACTGATGGACTTTGGCCATGTACCTACACGCGACGACATTCTTTCATCCAACCTGCGAGCTCCAGGACGACGTTTACGCGTAGAGGGCGAACGAGAGCGTCGTCGTGTCGTGGCCGGCGCGGCGCGTGCGGACGAGTCGGAACTGCGTCTGGATGAGCCCCGCGGCCGCGTGCCGGCGCGCCTTCTCCCAGCGCGTCTGGTCGATGATGTACTTGACGCGCGACTCGTTCTCGGTGAGCGCGAGGGCGGCAAAGAAAATCGACTGCACGAGCGAGAGGATGAGGAGGCCGCCGAGGATGCCGCTGAACGCCATGAAGAACCGGCCGCAGTGCGTCGCGGGCACATAGTCCCCGTACCCGACCGACGTCTACGCGACCATCTAAGATCGTAGAGCTCTATGGTAGTACGTACGATGGTGACGATCGTGAGCCACACCGACGTCCAGTAGTTCATAAAGTAGGGCTGCGCAGGTCTAAGAAATGGTGCAGCTCAACATCGGGACCCGCCGACGTACACTTCCAAAATGCGAAGAATCGCAGCCGTGAGGAACGTCACAAAGAAGAGCAGCGGCAGCTACCACCACGTGAACGACACAACCTTTCATCGAGTGAGAATATACCACAAGCCGGAGCGGCTTGGTGCTAAAGATGGCTTTGAAGTGGAAGAACGGATCCATGGTGTTGACGTTCTTCAGCGTGCCTACATGTCCCATGTGAGGACTATTTGGATAGAGGCCGTCGTATGCGGGAGGAGGTCATACCGATAAACGAGCCCACTGCGAGTAGAGCGGCGACGAGCTGCGCATGTAGCGGCCAAAGAGGTAGAGGCGGAGCACCATGAGCACGCCTCATGGAAGATGAGGAGGGTGCATGCAAGGAAGCGTACCAAAGGTGTCGTATGTGTACGTGTAGTCGAGGTAGCAGCCATCGTCGACGACGGTGACGTGGAGGTTCTTCGGATGCGCACACGTGTCCAAGCCCGTCGTCGAGTTGGCGTTAAGCGTGTAGCGAAACTGCATCATGGGCACGACGCCGTGGACGCCGGGCGGGATGTGAAAGCCGCAGATGAGAAGCTCGAGCAGGAGCACGCGCCAGTACTCGCGGAGCATGGACGAGCGCGGCGGCAAGATGTTTTGCATCTTGTAGATGCTCGTATGCGACTGATAGCGCTTGACGAGCAAGATAAGCAGCACAAGCGTCGTGGCCGACGTCGCGACCTTGATCCGCTCGGCGGCTGGCGACATGGCGACTTGGCGCTCCATGAGCTCTTCGTTCGTCGCGAGCATGAGCACAATGCCAACCATCGCAATTGCAAAGCTCCAGATCTCGTACAGCTGCCGGTTGCGGTACTCCTACAACACACCATGCGACGTCGGATCAGGCTGGCAGCGTGCCTACCCGCTTGAGCAAATGGATCGTCTCGAGGTGCTTGATCGTGTCGTTCTGCTGGAAGAGGCTGAGGACGGCCGGCGCCTTGAGCTGCTCCATGTACGTTGACGACTTGGTAGGCGACGACTGCCGGCGACTCGACGGCGACGCCGGCCGACTCTCCACCGCGGCTGCCATCGTGGTCGGTTGTGAGACCGTTTTGCACCGCCTGGCACCGTATCCGGAAACGTGACGTATCCGGCATACAAGCGACTAAACAAACGCAACTTGGCTTTTCCCGCCATCGCCCAACGCAACTGCCACGCTGCGAGCGCTCGACCTCGTCGCGCTCAACTGTACAGCTTGGTACCATGTCATGGTACCAAGCTGTACAGTAGTGACGTGGAAGACAATGTCTTCCACGTCACTAATGGTCTCAGCCGACCTTTTGCCCAAGCAGCTGCGTTTCTCTCAAAGCACGCTGGGCGCGTCCAGCTCGAATTTGATCTGCTTAGTGTACTTTACATGAGGGCTTAATGGACGAGAGATGATACCGCGTCTTGCCACTACTGGGCACTGCAGCTTGTTGGATGCGCCGACACGAGCGTCCTCGTTGATATTTCCGAATGCAGCTGACCAGTGTCTAGAAACACGCCACAATTCCATTTTGCCATGGAGGAAGGGCTCAGCCAGTACAAGAACGCGCTCGTGGCCTACTTTGAGCTGTACCCGGGCCCCGAGGTCGACGTGCAACTGCTGCTCAGTCGCTGCCCGCAGTTCGCGACGCTCCTCGTGCAGAACCCGACGCTGTGCTTGCCTGTGCTGCAGACCGCGTACGGCCAGCCGACGCCGCTCCAGCTCATCCACGTGCCTCCGTGCTTGAAGAAGCGCGTGAGCGCGCTCCGGAGCAAGGAGCTTGTCGGGCTCATGGGCATCGAGGGGACGGTCGTGCGCATCGGCCATGTGCGCATGCTCGAGAAGGTCCGGCAGTACGAGTGCACCAAGTGCCACACGACATGGGAAGTCTACTCCAAGCCCGAGGAGCAAAACAAAATGACCCTTCCGGTACGTTGTCGTCTAATCGCACGCACCCTATCATGGCGCTTGTAGAAAGCGTGCGTGGCCCGTGGGCAGTGCAAGTCGACCAACATCCAAGAGCTCAAGAGCAACAAGGTCTGCTGCGACTACCAGGTTCGACGACGACGTCATCGTGTGGTGTCCCCATGTCGTTTCCCATGCTAGCACATCAAGCTCCAAGAGCAAGTGTCCAAGCTCGGCATGGGTTCGATCCCGCGCTCCATCATGGTCATTCTCGAAGGTGCAATCAACCATCCTGTCGCCACCACCGCATCCACGTGTCCTAGGTCCGCTGGTCGACAGCGTCAAGGCAGGCGACGACGTCGTTGTCGTCGGCACACTCCTCAAGTGCTGGAAACCGTGCATCAAAGACGTTCGCTGCGAGCTGGTAGGGTCGAGTTCAAGTCCGTCATTGTCATATTCTTTTCGCATTTTTGTTAAGGAAACAATGATCCAAGCAAGCAGTATTCGGTTGAAGAGCGCCAGCGGCACCACGCGGGCGCTCGTGACCGACGACATCCGCCGCGAATTCGACCTCTTCTGGCAAACGCACGCCGCCAACCCGCTCGTGGGCCGCAACTTGATTCTATCGAGCATCTGTCCCAAAGTCTATGGCATGTTTATTGTACGTACCATCCACATCCGATCGTTGCGGGGGAGAGAATCATATCATTGCATGTGCTCTTCTTGCCTTAGGTCAAGCTCGCGGTGGCGCTCACCGTCATTGGCGGCTGCTCGTATATGGACGACACGGGCATGAAGACGCGGGGCGACTCGCACATGCTCCTCATCGGCGATCCTGGCACTGGTACACTACATTGCTTTAAGCAATCAAATCATCCATGGGTAGGCAAGTCCCAATTCTTGCGCTTCACGGCCGAGCTCAGTCCTCGCTCGGTGCTGACGACGGGGATTGGCACCACGAGGTAGGCTTGGCGGTAGACATTATTTGCACGATGTACATACCTTGTACGGCTCCTAGCGCCGGGCTTACGTGCACGGCTGTCAAGGACGGTGGCGAGTGGATGCTAGAAGCCGGCGCGCTCGTCTTGGCAGACCGGTAGTATATATTTTCAGAGGAAAGTTGGATGCGACATGTGTGCGGTTAGGGGCGTCTGCTGCATTGATGAGTTTAGCAGTATCACGGCCCATGACCGCGCGTCGATCCACGAAGCCATGGAGCAACAGACGCTAAGCGTTGCGAAAGCGGGTCTCGTGTGCACACTCAACACGCGCACGACGGTCTTTGCCGTGACCAACCCCAAGGGCCGGTACACACCGGCTTTACAAGGTCGATGAAGCTTGAATATGTGGGCGTAGGTACGACCCGAATGCCGATATGTCGGTCAACACGGCGATCGCGAGCCCCTTGTTGAGGTACTTCTATTGTATTTTTTTGTTATGAAAATTTGTGGAAAAGATGACGTTGCATTATGTGTTTAGTCGATTTGACATTATTTTGGTCCTGCTGGACACGGTGCAACGCGATGTGCGATGGCATTGTTATGGACTGGAACCCCACTTTGACGTCCTGCGTAGTGGGATCGCCGCGTCTCGTCGTTCATTTTGAACCAAGCGTCGACCGAAGATACGACGCCCGACGAAGAAGAGACGTTGGCTATGAGTAGCCTCCGTGTCATGCGTACCGCATCACCCACACGTTACGTTAGAAGAAGAAGCCGACGGAGAGGAAGCGATGCGCAAGCACCTCTGGTCCGTGGCCAAACTCCAGGCCTACATTTGCTACGTCAAAGTACGTTGCCAACGTTGTTTGGGCCACAACGAGTCAGATCTGATAGGAAATGTTTCAACCCCGGCTCACGCGCGAGTCCATGACGGTGCTGCAGCGCTACTACCAGATGCAGGTGGCTGTCGACCGCATCGCGTCGAGACGGTCTCATGCGACTGCGTAGCGATCGTCCGACGTGCGCAACGCCGCCCGAACGACGATTCGGCTCTTGGAGAGCTTGACCCGCATTTCCCAGGTCTGTTTTGACGCGTTGTGATGACGTGGGCTGCATTCGTATCGACTAGGCGCACGCCAAGCTCATGTGCCGTGACGAAGTGACTGTGCAGGTTGACTATTTTGCGAAAAATCTTGATACTATAACAGCATAGGACGCCATCATGGCCGTGTACGTGACCGAAACATCCAAGTCGGCTGACTCGATGTTTGGTTACGAGTCGGTGCTCCATAAGAGCTTTGCGCTGGACCCGCTCGAAGAGTACTACCAGATCGAGCATTGCATCTTGAGCCACTTGACGCTACTCGAATATTGTTCCAAGACGCCGCCGCCCGCGTCGCACGACTTTGGTGGCGATGGCGACCTGTATGAAGGCGATGACGTCTACGATGCGTACGAAGAGGAAGTCAAAGTGGTCAAAAGTCCCATTCCCAGACCGACAGTGACGGCGAGCCAAGCAGCAAATCGGTGGAGCCAAGCGATCGAAGCGCGACGGAGCCAGGTAATTTCAACCCGATGGATATGATTCGGGTTTACCTCTTCTCGTAGAAGCGACGACGCGACAGTAGCTCCTAGTCTGTTGTGTTTCAAAATAGAAGAACGGGATCCATTGTGTGTTCGTGGGTCTGGTGGGGTTAGGTGTTTATGTGCATACAGTAGTGTCTTTGGCCGGGAGGTGATCGCAAATTGCTGCATACCGTCACGAAGCAGACAACATTGTCCAACAAAACCATGGAGATCTTCGTGCCACGGGTCTCTTTCCATGTAAGCTCACTAGTCACCTGCAATAACGCTGTCGAGGGCATGACGTCCTTCTATTGGTCAATATCTTCATACGATGCCTTTAACGTCGTTGTGCTGCGGGTCGCCCGATTGCAAGCGGCTGAATCGCCCCGATCGCGTCCAAAATGAAGTCGCTCCAACTTGGGTCACTGATGAAAGACATGCTGTGGTGTACAAAAGGCGATGTGACGTCGCCGGGCGAGATCTGCAACGAGAGCAATCGACGACCTTGTTAATTGTGGCAAAACCACAACTTAGCTACGCCTCCAAATTGATACAAGCAGTGCTGTAGGGACGTTATGGAGCTGAATGAGCCATCGGTTGCAGCACTAAGCCACCAGTGTTCATGTACTACGATCCCACCTCCTTATTAGCAGATACGCCGTGCCCTATCAGATCGTCCCGTGTTGCGCTGTCTGTGGCAAAAACGGCAACGACTTGGTTGCAACTCCGCAGCTGACCGGTACCTCTCAGACGCGTGATCTTTGGTAGCATCGAATCTCCACACGCATCCAAGCAAGTATCGATCTATGAGCCAGTAGTACGATGTCGATAGGGTTTGGCGCCATCTTACGTGGATCGAAATGCCGGACGCGGATTGGCTGGTAAAAATATAGATCCTTCAACGCCCAATCACCATCGCGCCCACGCGTCTCCTGAGCAACAGCGTTCATTCCATCTTCGTCATGTCTGCTGCGTCCCGCGGATCGCGCGTGCACCACATCCGTCGGACGCCGAGCCCGTTCTTTACGACGTCGTCCGGCATCGTCGGCATGAATTTGCACGAGCCGACCGAGTTTGTCGCCCCCAAGCTCGACGAGACGCCGGTGGCAACCGAAACAACCAGGCGGACGAAGCCAAGCTCGTCAAGTTCATGTACCAGACGTCGTCGAGCGCGTTTGGCGACGGCGTGGAGCGCAGAAACAACCCGATGAGCCAGCGCATGGACAAACTGAGCTTGAGAAAAGGTAGTAGATCGATCGACAGATATCATCGACCTTACGACATGCGTAGAAATCGAGCAAAGCGGGCTCGTCAATATCAAAAAGGTCGACGTGATCTCGCCTAGCGCCGTGTTGGCCCAAGCCCGCGCCGAGCTGTTTCCGGAAGAGCTCAGTGCGAATGCCATGGACCTCCGACCGATTGCCGCCGCGCGCAGCGAGCACTGCATGTACACAACGAGGTAGGAATCGGACTGAGCTGCACACGAGGCTCATGGATGACAGCAACCGCGTCATTGGCGAAGAGAAAGGGGCGATTCAAGTCAACACCGACCGCATCGTCAAGCCCGGGACGTTCACGACGTCATTCAACGGGTTTCGGTACCGCGATTACGGCCTCAACACCGCCGTGACCAAATCCAAGATTTGCGACCAATTAGACTATTCTTAACCCTCCAAGGACGGGGTTTAAAAAGTCTCTTTCTGCCTGCTCGTCTGCCGTGCACCAGAGCCTGCATGCCGAAGTTAGCATCAAAAGACCGTCATTTCCGGGCTTGTCGGGACACACATCACCGATCGAGGAAACGAGAGGTCGTTGGGACTCAGGATCGCCCCGTCTTGTTCGTTCAAGCACCCAGGCTCCGAGCAATGACCACGCGTTTACCCGATAGCACTTCTTGCCGGCGCATCAGTTGTCTTCATCAACGTCACTCCGAGCTTGTCGGTGGATCAGCATCACCCACCGTCGCATCCTCCACGCATTCGCATGCGAGTCTTGCCTGCGTTGCATCGAGAACAGCTTTGAAAGCATCTCCGCGATCCCAACCCTGAGGCTCAAGTCTTGCAGCGCTCGGGTGGAGTCTTGCGAGACCTCGGTGGTTTCGAATTGCGTGCGCACACTTCAACCGTAGTACCACGACGGCAACGTGGATAGTTGCGATCCACTGGTTGCGATCGTGGATATATCTGCCTATCCATCCATCCATCCCTGCACAGCAGATTCTATAACATCTCCCCGCGTGCTGCTGCAAAGGCGCGGATGCAATGCGAAACCTGCGGCGGCGGTTGGCGCTCGAAATAGCCCGCCCGAGAAATCCCGTAAAAATGCGCGTAAAATACAGAAAAAAGCGGGCAACCATGCCGCATCGCCGCCTCGGATTCCGTCGACCGTGTCGCGGCACGACGTGTCGCACTCGGGCACTGGTGGCGCACAGCGGTCGCGGCTTCAAGAATGCGATGGAGTTCAGTTGCCCCAACGGGTCAAATTCCGCGCTTCTCGTATCGAGCTCGCTGATTGGCTGAAATTCATTCGTGGCTGGCCGCCCGTCAACCCAACCTCTTGGTTTCAGTATACGCCTCATTTTTGTAACCGTAAACCGATGCGGCATCAGCCACCATCTGATTGGGTGCCGTCTGTTTCAAACCGTTTTACGTGTTTTAAACCCCCGCTTGGATCGCGTTGTTTTAAACGTGATTCT